ACGTACGTTCACATTATTTCTTATTTATCTCAATCTCAATTTATCTCAAACTAATTCTGAACAAAGATTACAAAATAGTAAGCCAATTATACTCATACATATATATATCTATTTATATTACGTATATATATATATATATATATATATATATATATATAGTTCTCCTACTCAAGCTCCCATCTTGTACTTGACTAAAAATAATTGATTACCTCCCTTATATCATCTTAACTGATAAAATGTGGACAAGCATGTGTTTATTATTATCATTAACTGCTGCAAGATCAATTCATATGTGATGTTATTTATCTCGTGCAAGAATCATGTCACACATACTCACATGATACACCTCTCCGTAAATCTGTTACACATCCTACATAAACAAGAAAATATCAGCGTGTCAACATCATCATAATCCAAACTCAAATACAATAAAACTAGGAGAATATTAAAAAAAAAGAAGATTTACACGGAGACTCCTGAAAAATTACAAGGTACTACTACCATGTGTAATCAGAAGCAGAAGAGTAAGCATTTTCTGCTTCATCAACACCACCCCACCATGTAAGTCTTGGTCAATCCAAGTAAGTAATGTCACATTCTCAAATGAGAAAAATGTACACATTCCTATTTTCCAGTATAATGAATATGATAAATAAAAAAGTCCCTATTCTGGCTTTATCCCAATAGAGATATATTTGTAAAAATAATGTATATATATCTACGCATATAAATGTTTACATACATTACATATATATACTGTACCGTTTATCACTGGAGCCATCGGTTCTTTAATTTGTACAATCATTTAAATATTTTACTATTTCTAATCTAATTCTTCATTCTTAGGTAGGCCAGGTACTGGCTGTAGGTCGTTGATTTTTCCCGGCTTTCCTCCACCACCAAAACCTGGCTTGTCCTTAATGACCCTGACTTTTAATAGGATGTAAAGCAATAGTAATCCTAACTTAACAAATACTTATCAATATGTCAATAATATTTCCTATCAAACGGGTACAAGTTATGTATACAAGTCGTTGCACTCGGGGGGGAGTCCGACACGTGCGTATAAGGTCTTAGAGGTGAAGAAACAGACTTTCATCTGGTAATGAGGTCAATTAAGATGTGTTAATGAGATAAGCAGTTGAAAATGATAAAATACATTGAAAAAAAAAGGTAATGATATCCAGTTTATTTTCTCTGTGTATTAATAAAGTAGAATGGATATCAAGGTTAGATGTTTATTATCTAATAAGCTGGGTTTTTTTGGGGTGGGGGTTGGGGGATTCGTCATGTTTTTATTTTTTGTCGCTTTAAAAAATAAGAATGTTAAAGAAATCAAACGAACAAAAACAAGAAATGCTTATGAAATGATAAAATTTAGACAATAAAACGTTGCATTGGCGACCATTTACACAAACTATAATTAAAGTGATTGACAGTTATCATCTACTTCGGTAAAGTACTCATCTAACCTTAGAGAATTGTTCATAGTATTACATAATGTTCAATTTCAATTCGGACTGTCTTGCAGTCTTGTTATATTTATTAGAATGGTTTCGTCAAGGGGTGAAGAATCTAACTTCTTCAACTTTCAAACAATATTTTCCATCTTCACTGAATGAGGAAAATATCTAGCCATTCTTGGGGTTACATCACTCTTGAGTGACATTAATATTTTTATTGTTGTATTTTTTAATTATTTTTTCTTTCTTCTTTTGTTGGTTGGGGGATGGTAAACTGTAAGTGGGGATTGTAAGGTCAATAATTATTGGCCGTTTAGATTGTAATAAGTGGTCATGATACTGAAGTGACCAATACAACGATACAAAGTGAAAAACTTCTTACTCATATTTCACAAAAAATCAGGTGTTTCTGTAAGGACTTTATCCTCTCCCAAATCAAACAGAAAAGATAGTAAGTGTTTTATGAAAACGCCTTATAAAAGATAGTAAGTGTTTAATGAAAACGCCTTATAAAAGATAGTAAGTGTTTTAATGAAAACGTCTTATAAAAGATAGTAAGTGTTTAATGAAAACGCCTTATAAAAGATAGTAAGTGTTTTAATGAAAACGTCTTATAAAAGATAGTAAGTGTTTTATGAAAACACCTTATAAAAGATAGCAAGTGTTTTAATGAAAACGTCTCATAAAAGATAGTGTTTTAATGAAAACGTCTTATAAAAGATAGTAAGTGTTTAATGAAAACACCTTATAAAAGATAGTAAGTGTTTCAACGCAATGAAAACCTTTACAAAAGAGAGTAAGCGTTTCAACGCAATGAAAACCCTTTACAAAAGATAGTAAGCGTTTTAACGCAATGAAAACCCTTTACAAAAGACAGAATGTGTTTCAACGCAATGAAAACCTTTACAAAAGATAGTAAGCGTTTCAACGCAATGAAAACCCTTTACAAAAGATAGTAAGCGTTTCAACGCAATGAAAACCCTTTACAAAAGATGGTAAGTGATTCAACGCAATGAAAACCCTTTACAAAAGATAGTAAGCGTTTTAACGCAATGAAAACCCTTTACAAAAGACAGTATGTGTTTCAACGCAATGAAAACCTTTACAAAAGATAGTAAGCGTTTCAACGCAATGAAAACCCTTTACAAAAGATAGTAAGTGATTCAACGCAATGAAAACCCTTTACAAAAGATAGTAAGTGTTTCAACGCAATGAAAACCCTTTACAAAAGATGGTAAGCGTTTCAACGCAATGAAAACCTTTACAAAAGATAGTAAGCGTTTCAACGCAATGAAAACCCTTTACAAAAGATAGTAAGCGTTTCAACGCAATGAAAACCCTTTACAAAAGATGGTAAGTGATTCAACGCAATGAAAACCCTTTACAAAAGATAGTAAGCGTTTTAACGCAATGAAAACCCTTTACAAAAGACAGTATGTGTTTCAACGCAATGAAAACCTTTACAAAAGATAGTAAGCGTTTCAACGCAATGAAAACCCTTTACAAAAGATAGTAAGTGATTCAACGCAATGAAAACCCTTTACAAAAGATAGTAAGTGTTTCAACGCAATGAAAACCCTTTACAAAAGATGGTAAGCGTTTCAACGCAATGAAAACCCTTTACAAAAGATAGTATGTGTTTCAACGCAATGAAAACCCTTTACAAAAAATGGTAAGTAGTATTCAGGTTAAATCAAAGTTAGAATTGCAGGAAGCTGGTCATCATCACGCTGTCCTTTTTCCATTAGCTGAAACAATTAGAGCAAGCGATATATCAAAATATAAAATATAGACATTCTAATTAATTCTTCCATTTTCAAATATATAATTCACAACGCCTATAAGTTTCGGTGAGAAAGAGATATTCTTTTAAGATATCAACAGTCGTACTAAACATTATTATACATAGATTCTCTTTTTCGTATGTGTATGGTGTATTTTAATATCAAGTAGTGTATAAAGATAACAAATTGATTGTTGATAATTTCTTAAAGCAGTTGAAGGGATATTTTAAATCAAATATTTCATTCACACCAATTTATAATACAATAAAATTGTGTATGTACTTGACAATAAGATATACGATACCGTCAGTGGAGTGAGCGACTATAACGAAAACAGGATGAATGAGTTGTATATATAAAACAACATGTTGTTATATACTCATACCGATAGCAGTGTGACATAGCATGTTTTCAACGTACGTTCACATTATTTCTTATTTCTCTCAATCTCAATTTATCTCAAACTAATTCTGAACACAGATTACAAAATAGTAAGCCAATTATACACATACATATATATATCTATTTATATTACCTATATATTTATATATATATATGTAGTTCTCCTACTCAAGCTCCCATCTTGTAGTTGACTAAAAATAATTGATTACCTCCCTTATATCATCTTAACTGATAAAATGTGGACAAGCATGTGTTTATTATTATCATTAACTGCTGCAAGATCAATTCATATGTGATATGTTGTTTATCTCGTGCAAGGATCATGTCACACATACTCACATGATACACCTCTCCGTAAATTTGTTACACATCCTACATAAACAAGAAAATATCAGCGTGTCAACATCATCATAATCCAAACTCAAATACAATAAAACTAGGAGAATATTAAAAAAAAAAAAAAAAAAAAAAAAAAAAGATTTACACGGAGACTCCTGAAAAATTACAAGGTACTACTACCATGTGTAATCAGAAGCAGAAGAGTAAGCATTTTCTGCTTCATCAACACCACCCCACCATGTAAGTCTTGGTCAATCCAAGTAAGTAATGTCACATTCTCAAATGAGATAAATGTACACATTCCTATTTTCCAGTTTAATGAATATGATGAATAAAAAAGTCCCTATTCTGGCTTTATCCCAAGAGAGATATATTTGTAAACATAATGTGTATATATCTACGCATATACATGTATACATACATTACATACATGTACTGTACCGTTTATCACTGGAGCCATCGGTTCTTTAATTTGTACAATCATTTAAATATTTTACTATTTCTAATCTAATTCTTCATTCTTAGGTAGGCCAGGTACTGGCTGTAGGTCGTTGATTTTTCTCGGCTTTCCTCCACCACCAAAACCTGGCGCGTCCTTAATGACCCTGACTTTTAATAGGATGTAAAGCAATAGTAATCCTAACTTAACAAATACTTATCAATATGTCAATAATATTTCCTATCAAACCGGAACAAGTTATGTATACAAGTCGTTGCATTTTCTTTTGTGTTTGTTATCCCTGCTCAGAATGAGATAAATAAATATCAAAGAATAATAATAGTGATAGGTTTTATCAGTTTATTTACACGAACTAACTTTCTTACGTACACGTAATCAATTAACTGTCAATTTCATAGATTTTTTTCTACGTCGACTGTTGAGTTCCATTTGGAACACATTTAGACTTAACTATTTACCTTGTGTAATGCTGTTCGGATTTATTCGGTAAAGTTTAGGGTCGTGTGCAAAAGGGTACAAAAACAAGTACACAACTCCACCGGTAGTTCAACCTCATTTGGATATTTCGAGGGAAGTGCGAGGACGACGTTGTGAAAGTGGACATCTATAGTACCTGGGTTAGTGGACATACCCAGCCATGTCATTGCTTACCCTCGAGGCCAAGTTGGAGAGGGTGGACCCCTCAACACAATGGGGATTTCGTATGCAGGGAGGACAGGATTTTAGTGCCCCTCTAACGATACAGCGGGTGAGTTTGTGATTGTTTTGGCACTGTGACAGCTCGGGATGCTTGCTGTCAAAGGACGGGTTAAGAATAAAGCCCTGTCCGAATGAAAAAAACATACGCCCTTGTACAGCTTGCCCTCCGTAGTCTTAGTACAACATACACCCCATAGTAAACTCACTTCGGTAACTTCGTGTTTTGTCCTGTGAAATGATTAAAGGTGTTCATGGTTATTGTAACATTTAGAGAAATGCTCTTATTAATACTTGATACGGGATTGTTTTCTTGAAAGGGGAATATTGTTTTGATAGTTGTCAGTTTGTAACGTTTTAGAACATGATTCGATATAGTTATCATAGTATCCCTGCTATGATGCGTGACTTGTACAAGTGTGTTGTGTACATCGAGGCTTAAGCATTGAGCGTAGCAGATTGCCTGTCATTACCATATTTGATGATTCACACACCGATGCGCACTGTAAGACAATAGTCAGTCCTTTAGCTGCACATTCTTATCATATAACCTAATAGCGTTTGAATCAGACTGGAATGTTTTAAGACCACACCAAGTATGTGCTTACGTCAAAATTTTAAAGTCTGTATTGTGTGTGTCTGCACGGAAATAGATACGTGACTTGTAAGGGTCATACTAGCAGTAATACCACTGAGCTCACATATACAGCAATTGGTTGTGTATTATGCTCACACCTTCAACCTTCTTGTGTAAAAATAACATGCAAATTATATATGTACATTGTTAATTGGATGTTTAAACTTTGTTGTATTTTGTTGTAACTTGTTAACAAGTGTTTATGTCCCCAAATCTACTCAAAAAACAACATTGTTACAATCTTTATTAAAGTTGTGAATTTCTTAAACGAGAGAGATTCAACAAACATGTTTTAATGCTTGTTTATGTATTTGTATAAATTAGTCTGTATATTTATGTTCTATTTGTTTACTAACATTTATGTGTTTCTATATGGTTATGAAATGAAACGAATATGGTAATAATATAAGTACCCTGGGAGCTATGCAGTTCTTATCTTTAGTATCAATAGTCGCTAGGTCATCATATACTAACAGCAGCAGTACCTAACTGAGGAAGAGATATATGATAGAGGATATCAATTTCTCAGATATTATACAGACATACAGGCCTTCTGGACAGAAAAGTCTATTCCACATAGTGTACTAGAGATGATATTGCATGAACCATGACATCCCAACAGCCATGATTGGGGCAAGAGGAGAAGTTGGGGTGGGAAGATAGGAGGATGGGATTTAAGTTGAGTGGGGGTTGAGGTGGGGGGAGGGTATATGTAAAGAAGCATGGGTGGTAATGATGACAAGAAGATAGATGAGATTTGGACACAAAGATGTTATGTTGTTAAAAGTAAAAACAAGAACCACTAAACAGCTCACAGGTGTCAGTCTGACTAGACGGATTACGATAGATAAAGAGTTTATGTAAATGTGAAGAATCATGTTAATGGTTTCAGTTGTAGCAGAGGTAAAATGTGTAAGGGAAGGAAATTATTGGATAGAATAATAATATTCATCTTTCCTGATACAGCATGATGAAAGTGTAAATTATGGGTAGAAAATAAAGGGATATGGTTTGACTTACATATATTGCTCACATACATGTTATTCTGAATTATGGTAAGCTATAAAAAATGCTGAACTTGGTTGAATACTTTCAAGTATTATAAATGTCAATGACCTTCAATTTGGTGCCCATGTACTGTTACAGTACTACCAAACTCTCTACCCCCTGTAGATTTATATCGGTAAATACTCCTGGGTTACAGTGACCTTGAGACAACCTACACACCATCTTCTTTATACAACCACCAGAGATCAGTGTACAGAAAATACACCCTATGGCAGGCTATTTATTGCATGCACTAGGTTTCCAACATATATTGGAGAATAGATGCTTAGATAAAAGGCTGTTAAACATATACCAGAATAAGCAGAAACAGGAAAATGGCTGTACAGAATTGTGCAGATATTCCAGCACATCTAGAAATGCGTTTCTGTTATTGCACAGTCCTGCTAATGATACCAAGTGAAAAAAGAAAGAGATCGTATTAACAAATTTGATATATTTTACATACAGGTTTGAGGTATTAATTACGGAAATAACAGGAAAGCTCTTGGTTTATATGTAGCTATTCATCTATTTACAGGCATCATTCATGTGAACCATTTTTTTTTTACCTCAATCTGATTCTCAGTAAAAGTGAAGACTTCATCCATAACTTTGGTTTTAAACTTTGAAGATGTACTTCTTAATAGTATTTTCATTTTTAGCAGATCTAACAGTCAGCCAGTTTGGCAGCCAAATTTCAGTATCATTGGTTTAAGAACATTGAAAATTTTTAGTGAACGTAAACAGTTGAATGGATCAATATATCCCAGGGCTCTTGAAAATCATTATCATAAAAATGGTCATTATAGATAACTTCTAAATAGAGTGAATTAAAAAGAAAGTGTAAAGATACAGTGACTTAATAATCACACTTTATAAACCTTTCAAAGTTACATCTCATTGAATGTGTTTGATGTTAGAAGACAATCGAATATAAAAGTGAAAATACATAATATGTTTTGGTATGATGATACAGGTAAAGAATTCCTAAATTACAAGTATTATATTTAAGTTCATATAGTTTCATTAACTTCAAATACTATACTTTCATTGCATAAAAATAGTCCTGTGTATCTTAAAAATATATATTATAGATATAAATAGTCTGGGAAAATATATAGAAATACAAAAACTAACAAACTTATTGAATGAATGGCTTTCACCTTTGAAGGTGTCATGTATGGTATTAACTTCTGATAATAAAGATGAAAATATGACCTCTTTTATAACTTAGGTACTTCCTGGAAGTTTGGCAGCCAAATGTGGATTACAGCAAGGGGACATAATCCTCAAGATTGGCAACAGTGAAGCCAATGTAATGAAACACAAAGATGCCCAGGGGGCCATCATGGGGAGTGGTAACAAGCTGGACTTGCTGCTGCAGAGGTCAGTATATAAGTACCCTGTTTTATTTATCCCATGTGAACCCACCAAACCCGATCCTTTGCAATATTTAATATTTATAGTTTCAATTCGTATTACAGTTAAGTAACTAATTAGAAAAAAATACTACTTCAGAGATAGTTTACAATTTCTTTTTGTGAAATTTTTCACTTTTTAAATAAATAGTAGATACATAACATGATATTTAAGGGCGACGAAGAGGAAGATTGATCATTATAATTGATTGTATATTAATTTGTTGAACAAATTGCATATTTGGTTAAATATTCAGATATGGAAATGAATGTGGTGGAGTCAGCATTTGTACATGGATAGCTTGTTGGTGTTTATTGTGGTACCTTCATCGTCCCTATTTGTGGTTTTGACAGTATCTGCTATCATTGTAACAGCCCACCCTCCTAATGGACTGTTTGCGGTGAGATTTGCTATGTAAGACCATCACTTGTGTTGTAATTCCCCACCCAGTACTTATATTTTTCCTTGTCTATCACAGTAAATTGGGTCTCCCTCTTGTTGAACACTATTAATGTTGTGCTGTTGGATGCCGTTGTAGTCATATTTGCAGCAGTACTTTTTCTCACAGAATTGGATTCTAAACATATGTGCATCAGTTCTTAGAAACGTGATTGATTTAATATGTAATCATATCTCGAGTATACTTCAGCACTTCTCTGCTTCGTTGGGTTCATTCTGCTTTCAAAACAGGAACTTGTACTACATACTTGTATTTCTTTACTGTATGAATCAACAATAAGCTGAGGAGACTAATACTTCTTACTCAGAAAAAGTCCGGGGATGGGCATCTTACAAACAATTACAAGACTTTGGAATAATAGTTGTTGGAATGTTTACTGATTAGACAGGACATAAAATCTACTAAGCAGCTAAAAATATTGGCGGACTTTTACAAGATTTTTAGATAAATGCAGTGTGGTATGTTAAAAACAATAGAGTAGGTGTACAGATGTGACTTAGGGAGCAAAATGATATTGATGTCATACTATTCTACTGTATTAGGGCAATATACTTTTAATTAAACAGCATTTCATCAGGATGCACAGAACAATTGGGGTATATCTGAGATTGATTTTAAGTTTATTTAACCGTTAAGAATTACTATTAACTAATATGATATCACACAAGTTTGTTATTTGAGACAAGTAGAAGAAAGGTTGTCATTTACCAAACAAACTGTATTTATGTTTGAGTGTATTAAATTCTTGATCTAGATATAGATGTGTTTCTGAAACTTTGCAATGAAAGAAAAGATTCCACATATCTATGACTTAATTTTAGAGGGATTCTGTGAATAGTTTTGGTGTATATTGGGTGTCTGATAGAATCCAGATACAGCAGACCATTGATACCTTGCCGAAACCATTGGTGTACAGCACCAGGCATTTGGGAGTGGTTCATTGTTAGTGGTAAAGCCATATCTACAGACTGTTGTCAGGTGTTAAATACAGCCTATCTGGTGCTATTTCTATGAAGTAGTTTTAAAAGGCAGGAATAGATTCAAAGTAATTGTATTGATCATTGTTGTTGTGAACAGATGATGTAGCTTGCAATTATGAAAACTTTTATTTGAATATGGCAGTCTACAAAGTGGCTGCAGAATGAGTCATATGTTGCTATTTCTAGATGTAATGACATGCGTCTTCACAACAATTTGTATACAGATCATTATTACTCACATTGAGCACATCAGTAAACCTTCTCACTTTTTATAAAGGTATAATAATTCATATATATCCCTATGTTGGTCCAATTGTAGTTACAAGTAATTCTTGGTTGCCATTTAAGAATCTTGAAGACTAGAATCAGTTTAGTATTATTGTGCTCGGCAGGTGCCTCTTATGTAACAGGGAGGGAGCCATATCTTAGTCTCTGATATTACAAATGCATGCCTCATCTGTAGTGATCATTACCAGCTACAAGAATGTGTACAATATAAAAACCATGATTAGATTGGTGTACTACAGCAAAGTTTTATCGGAGATATTAAGTAACTAAGCAAATATTTGAAAATGGTAATATCTTGACTTATCATTGAAACTATGTGTGAAGTTGAATCATAAGGAGTATAAACATTTCTCACATTATGGCCGCTGTGAAGTAAACACTGGGGAATTGGTATGTATTAGTATGATACCTCATCAGGGTTTGAACAGGTAGCAGGTATATATTGACACAAAATCTTACTGCTAATGTTTGTATCACTGTCCAGGTCAATTCATCAGGTCAAGCACAAGATTATACCAGCTATATAGCTACTGAATGGGTTTATTCATTGGAGTATAGGGGCACCTGTTACTTATGCTACACCCTGATAGCATGTGTAAACAAAAGTCTGAAGTCAGTCATTAAATACAAATCTGAAATCTAAAATAAGTACGAAGGATTGTGAGGTAGAAACCACATGTTCAACAGTCATTTCCCCATTTTGGTTGTGCGTCATTATATAAAGTTTGTGTGCCTGTACAGGTTATGTGTAAACTATCACACTGTGACTGACACTTTCCACACCTGTGGATCATATTCAGTCCCTATAATCTCTCTGACATTACCACACCTTTAAGTTTCTCACCTGTCCATCTAGTCAGTCATGTTTCATCCCTAAGGGAAGTTTACACTTGCAACATAAATCAGTCAGCCATATATAAGATTGTTTCCATTTGCGTAGGTTCAATATTAGATGCTTTCCTTTATCCCATATCCTATAATTATATGGTATGACACTAATGTTATCCTGATCTGTGCTCCGGGAAGAAGCCAGACAGTATTTATGGAAGGGGCCTCAAATTTAATTTATCAAGTTATGTGTGGATAATATAGTACATTTTGTAGTATGATCAGGATATTTTATATGGATCCTGTTGCTCAGATTCACTTTGTAAATTTTTGACGAATATGTTCCCAGCTGTTATAATGATCACTGTTAAAACTAAAATTTATCAGATATATGCACTGTATGCATCACACTTTACTGTTATTGCTTTTCACTCAACATTAACAGCATAGGGGAAGTGATTATGATGTTTTTTGTTGCTGTTTTTATCATTTCGTTTCTAGGTTATGACTACAAATAAAACATGCAGACATGCAAATGTGGTACATGGTAATGAATAACATATTTATGTACACATATAAATTTATTTTTTGACCACTGTACTTTTGTATAATGTGCATTCTCTGATCAATCACAACAATCTTTAAGACATATTGTCATGAAACTTTTACCAAGACTAAAATGTTAAGGCAGCCAAGTAGAATTAGTGAATCTTTTAGTCTGGACTTTTTGATCATTACTGCAAATATAGAGCAGATACTGAGTATATTGATTGATGGGGAGGGGCTGTTTTCACTTCTAATTTTATGCAATGTCCCATACAGCATCAGCATCTCAACCACCACTGCCACACAGTACACATGTAGAGCAGACAAAAAAATTGTACATGTGATATTTGAGTACTTTGCCATTTCAAATTTAGACCAGTCTTGGCATCACATCACAAGTTTTTCACCGGGATTTGAAAGATACGGCCCTCTTTTATCATATGGTTGCTAGTAGAAGTTTAGAACCAGTGTATGAAACTGCACTCAAAAAGATGTGGCAAGGGGAGATAATTCTATGGTTTATAGTAGAGCTCAAATTTGCAGTGTTGACTCCAGGATAGCATCACATTCTGACCATATGGAAAATATGCATTAATATTCAGATAACCATGTTACTCTTTTGAGCCAGATACCCACAATATACCCCAAAACATGTGGGGCCAGATATCTGTATTATACCCTGAACCATACAGGAACATAGTGAATCCCCATTATTCTCTGAACCATTCAACTATGTGGGACCAAATGACCATATGGGTCAATAGATCCTCACATTGTGCCAACAACTATGGCATGGAGCCATGTAAGACCAGATACCTACACTTTTGCTCTACCCACCTGTAACTAGGTAGGACCAGATAAATTTCGGAATCATAGCCCAGGTTACCTGTAACATTGTAAGATTAGATTAGCATATTATAGCCCTGGTTACCTGTAACTTTGTGGGACCAGATATCCACATCAGGACCACAGTTGTAAGTAATGACATACACTAACTCTCCCTAGGTTTATAAGTCCTTTTCTGATTTATATGGTATTGCAGGTCATGAAACATATTAAGGGACAATTTAATGTTAGCATTACATCCTTGATTTTTTTTATATACCATGACCAAATGATCTGGATCCAAAAGTACTCTCTTAACATACCACAAATAAGACACAAATAAGGATACCACCTGATCAGAAAGGTCAGCTTACATAAACACACCAGATTAAATACTTAACCTTGCTGGTCACCAGAAGAATAGTGTATAATACCTTTATATTGTATAGATGATGATAAATGTCATGACATTACCCCCTACCCCAACACCAGGTAAGAAGTTAGATATCATGTTGAATGAGTTTCTCACAGTAGGACATGGGGTTAATCTCTGTGCAGTGTGGGGGAAACGCTGGACTTGCACACATATTTCAGAGATAAGCTGGAAAGGTATATAGGGTTGAAGGAATGATTAGGAATCTGATAAGATGGGCTGGAATTTTGTCCATTTTTCTGACTCATTTCTCATGTAGATTTAGATCAGGTAGTCTGACCAGAAAGAAAAAGTTCACCATAACCAAGTTATTCTGAGGATAGTTACTAAATCATGTCAAAAATATAGGTTGGCTATAAAGATAGTGTACCTGTCCTTAGTGAATATATCAGGTTATCTTTATATAACAAAACATTGTACAGTAGTTTTTTATGTTAAAACAGCTTTCCTTGATAAGAGAGTGGTTTTTTTTACCATTAAAGCCCTTATTTTGAGTAAAGTCTAAAACAAAGAGGTACATATTCCTAAATGTATGATATTGTTATGGTGGAGTTTATTTTCAATCAACAATGTATACTTGTTTTGTTTCTTTTGTTATTGGTTTATTGTGTTTTTCTCTGACCTTTTCAGTATTATGTAGCATTATATCTTTACACCTTGTTCAATGTAAGACTTCGAAGGTTCACTTTGAAGGTATCTGTTCCACATTAGTGGGGATTATTGGGAGTTGTGTTATAATTGATTCGTCTTTGTGTGGGTGAATGGTTAACATTATACATAATTTCTTCAAATATAAAACCCATCAGGTTTATCTGATCCACATGCCTGTGGTTAGGAAAATATATACTCTGTTTCCTATACTACTGCCTTATAGATCCTTTATCTAGACATGCAATGCACATGCAGTACATTACTTGAAGTCATAACTATAAAGGAAGATGCTTTCCTTTGTAATTTTATGGTTAATGTAATATGCTTATCGTTGAAAGCACATCTTCAATTTTATGATGGGATTTCTTTATCATTATCTTAAATAGCAACCCTTCATTGTGTGTATTGGTGAAAAATTATAATGTTAATTTGTTTTCATCTTGAAGAATAAGAGAAAAGAAAGCTAAAAAGCCTACCAATAATTTTATTGGGTGAGTACAAGGTTCATATGGGAATGGCGACACTATAGTCTAGCGTGTTTCATACAGCAGTCTTGTAATTGTTGTGCATCCTGACGTCACCTTCACTTCTCTGTAAAAACGGTTTTATGTACAATACATGCATTCAGATTTCCAAATGCTGCCATTTCTTTTCTGAGAGGTGTTGTTGTCTTAAGGATGGAGAACGATTTGCTGTTAACACACAGAAGCAAGGAAATAACCCTTCAGTTAGTGTCAGAATTCTAAACGCATGTAGTTCGGTTATGTAAGGTTAAGTTTTACTTAATGAAATAAGATTTTTCATTATTATCATTTTTTTTTAATTAGTTGAAATAACAATTGATTGAAATTTTTGGCATGAAGCATATTTTTAATTTATGTTTATTTTTATGTTCATATTATTCCTGATTTTGACTCTGTTCTATGAGTTTTGGTCTAGATATTAACCAAGATGAATTTGATTCATACATTTACTGATAATATGGTCCTTGTATTTATTTCTGTTGGGAAATGTATTTTGATATTGCTGCGATATATATGATTAAAATGGCAAAATAAGGCATGCAGTGGTTACTGAATGTTGTGCTTGTCAACCTGGTAGTCACATGTTTCATGAAATTGGTATGTTTTGTTGTGTGGCATGAGTTTTAACATTTTTTTGATCAAACAAATCTTCTATTACATTTCAAATTATGCAGTTTTCAAAGAATATCTTGTTACATGCTTGGCAAATCAAGTTAATTATTGATGTGTAAATAAAAAAATTGCTATATGGGCAAGAATTTGCTAATGAAATTTTAGTGTCAAAGTAGTTTATCCAATAAAAAACAAATAAAATCATGCAAGTATGGGGAATAAACATTGTTTAAATATTAAAAACAAATCTAATTGATTAAATAACAAGGAAGCAGCACAAGTTGTACGCCACCAGTGGATAAATTATAGGCAAAAAGTGTGACATTTCTGGAGTAGTGAAACTCCAGAGTCGTATTTATTAAATGCCCAAAGAATTGTGGTGCTGTAAAAGTTGTTAATCAACTGCAAAATGATCGGTCTATCGATAAAAACGCTTGTTTTGTACAGGATTTGATTAATGCTGCAAAAAAATAGGATTGAAAATAGACCAATGTACGTAACTTTTCGCGTCAACAAACGTTATGTGCACGTTTCCCTCCGTAATTTGTTTGGAAAGGCATCATCGACACGGCATTGCAAATTTACGAAGTGTCAACAAAAGGTACGATAAGATTGTCATAATTTTCATCAATCAACTGGAGTATGGAAAATATATCAGGTAATAAAATATAATTAATTTTCGTGTCCAAACTACCCTAACATATTCCCTCTCTTTGGAACAGTTGTATTTCTGTAACAGATTGCGTAACGATAATGTTTTTTGCAATATTTCAACCCGCTTCCAGTAACATTAACATGTGACTATGCAGTTTTCCTAAATAGGGTCTATCGGTGTAGAGGAACTCAAGGAGACCACGGAATCTGGTAATTTTGATCACGTAACGAAGTGTTACGCGCACATTCTGAGTAAAATATGATCTTTGATAATGTTGTGTGATTTTTTCTTTGTATTTTTCAACAAAAATACAGTAGATGTGGTATTTGAAACAGGTTTGACCTCGCGATAGCGATTTTTTGGTGGGAACGATTTCCGTACGTATCCTTGACCCGAAAATAAATAGTTGCACGTCTTTGGTGTCAATGTTACATGCGACTACTTAAACAATATTATATTTGAGATATGTGGGAGTATAATTATCATCTACATACAGATAGTGTATTGGGGGGGGGCTTTTTATGTTTTAATAGCATTTCTGGCATGCTTTATGATTCATATTTTTTGTGTCCATGTTACATGCAGCATATGTGTAACTACTTTATTACTGAAATGAGAAGGTTGCAAAAATATTGATAGAATTTTCTTTATACGACAGTAACACAATGAAAAAATAACTTTTCTTGTTTACAAAGAACATAATTCTGATTATATTCATCTCTTAATAATTGCATGTAACATTGACAGAACAATAAGAGGAAACCTGTTTTCATAGCATTTCTGAAGTACATGATAAATTTGAAAAATGCAATTTTTTAAGTCGAGATGACGGACAATGTTTTGAGATAAACAAACCTAATACTAAACTTCAAACAGGTCAAAGAACCATCAATCTCAGTTTGGGAATAGTGTCAATGTTACATGCTCTAAATTCATTAATTCTCTTTGTTCTTAACTGAAGTAAGTTTCAAAATGATTTTTAGTTGTTACACATAGAAAGTTACAGTTATACTTCAAACAAAATTTGTAGGCTTATGAATATTTGTATTTTTTTTCTTGCAATGTCACACTGAGGGTTACATTAGCTAATTCTTGCCCATATATCTTACTAGATGCGGTGACGTTCAAGTCTAAAAAGTACATAAAACCAAAAGGGGGCAAAGAGCTAACATCAGTCCAGTATATAGGTAGACTCTTCAGCTGGTCTAGTTGCTGGAAAATGGATACCGAAAGGTATGCAGGGAGCCATCCAACAGTTACAACAACAAGGACATCAGAAAGAGCTCAACATTTACCAGCTTTACAAAAAATATAGTAGATATTAGACTTGTACTATTTGTCTAACGGTGTTAGTTACTTTGCCCTGACGAGCTGTAACAGGCAAAACCAAATACGCAAATAAATAAAAGTGACGAATATAAAACCAGTAATAAATTATGATATATTAAGATGTCAGTGAACTGTTTAGCACTGGTTGAACAGTTTAAGGGATGAGGTTCTTGATGTATATATAGAAAGTGTGTGAGAGCTAGTAATTAGTTTAGAGATGGCCCATGAGTTCCTTGTATTTGGTACAGTCGAGACACCAACACTGGCATTTGTCCATGGTTTCACTGCAAGATAGTCTCACCTTGGTCCACTGGCAGTGCTGCACACCTGGTAGTGATCTATTGGGTAGTACAACTCAGGAGATTCTTGCACAATACAGAACCTCTCACATACCAGTATTGGCCTGCCATCCTGAAACCACCACTTTCATGTATATGGTCTACACTCATTTGCTGTTGCTAGGATGCCATGCCAAGATAGTATTTATATAGTCAAACCATAGATGTGACCACCTTGAATGTTCATGGGGAACTTATATAATATGTCTGGAAAACTTTGTTTGTGTACCAAACATTATACTTGTTAACTTGTTTGAAACTGCTGTTTCTTTTCAGGTACATGTACTTGTAGAATAAATTATTGTGAAGTGTTTGGTATTTTGGTTTCAGTTTTTAGATAGAGACACATCTTTCAAAAATTTTAAATGTAATCACTTTGTATTGTAAACGATGATGATTTTTCTACACAGAATTGCTTCAAAGCCGAAGAATTAATTATGAATCTGGTCCCCCTTACTTACAATTATTACAGCATATCAGAGTTTATGCAGGGGTAAAAAATTGACTTTCATACATTAAGGGGAGACAAACAATTGAGGACAGTCATATATCACCATGGTAATGATACTCTGTCCCATTGGCAAGGGGAGGCCATCCAGGTGTTGATAATTATAGTATATTGGCAATAACAGACGGCTTATACTGCATACCTGAGGCCATCATCACAGACCTACACAATACACAAGTAAATTGAACACTTTCACTCCTCCACCCTAAGAGCCTCCAGAACAGCTTAAGGTGCTAGCATTCTGAAGCAGACTCCTCACCATTGCATCACGATCAGTGGCATATGTTTTGTGTAAAGTATGTTTATCTCATACCACTTCATCATTCTTCTACCCTTGGAGTGCCACATAAAACTGATATTCTTCATAGAGAAACAGAAAAATATGCAGACCTATTTCATTCAATACTTTCCTCTGATTAGTGATATAAGATATTTTTTTATTTGTAGTTGTTGATATTTATTGTCCCAATGTATACCTGCTAAAACACACTACCTGGATCAGATTGTGTTCCAAAAAGGAACAATATAACTGAAAGTTATTGATACAGTTCTTGAAGACTTGTTTTCCTGTACATAACCTCTACAATTTGATAGAGGTGGAAATTACAACGAAAAAGGTTTTATAACACAGCACGATAAGTTACCTTATTTTCTGGTTTTTTTACTCTTGTTTCATCAGAAAACCCTTAAATATATTCTGACAGACTATTGGTTGACAAAGATAAATATTCATGGCCCAATTACTTCAAATATCTCATATGAAATGGAAAAGCAAGATCCTTTCTCAAGACATTGATAATTAAGTGGTAAATGGTTGATATAATGAATATCATGGGTTTAGGACCTCATACTATTATAGCAGTAGTGTACCTCCCCCCTGTAGAACACTGGTACTGGTGTCAGGTTGCCTGTCTCTATGGATGCCTCATATATAGATAGATAGCAAGGTAGATACATTGTACACACTAGCACTGACCTTGCCAGGTTATTTTAAGAAGATTAGTATCACATGTGTTACACTGATTTTCCTTGTGTCTTCACTTTGTGGATGTTCTTGCTTTCCCACCTTGGAGCTTGTATGCTACAACATCTAGAATATGTTCTGCTTTATCTAGAAACCAGCATTATATAGCCCAATAAAAAACAATTTCATCAGCAACTATATGATAGGAAAACTAGCTTTAAACTTTTTGCTTGTTTCACCAAAACATGTAGAATATGATTTATGGAATGTCATGTTGCTGAAACACCACACCCTGGCAGAAGAGGATACCACCCATCAGTATCTCAAATAAAGTTATCTCCCTTCCTTTCTATCAGGCTAACAACTACAGGTACCTCTTTTAAAGGTAGATCATAATAATATCGGTAAGAAACAATAGATTACTTATTATGCAGTTTCAATGAGATATTTCAATGTGCTTCAGAGTTCCATCTGATTAAGTCATGATGTATTAAGCTTCAGCTGAATATGATTGTTACAACAATTTTGGTTACCAATACATTCCCCCAAATGTTAAAGGAAACACTCCTAACGACAAATGAAACAAATAGTTCGTCTACTTAATATTCTGGGGAAGTGTATGGCTTAATTTGATGTCTGAATTGTCCTAATCTAAGTACCTTCAAACCAATTTTTGTGATTGCCATATCCGTCCCCCATACCTTGATGGTGAATTCTTCACTAATTTAAAGTAAGAAACACTCTGCTGAATATAAATATCATTATTTTCATAACACCACAAAGCACTTGTTGCCTTCAGTAACAAATTCAGAGGTCCATTTTCAATTTTTGTCTGTTTATTAAAACTATGTTACTTCTATTTACTTTTTTTCTTCCATATAAATGTACCTGTTATATAGTTAAATCAGTTCTGTCTCCATGCCACTTTTGCCTTGATAAATTTCCTACAGCTAAAAGTTAAAACACACTTTGCACTCCAATGTTTTCTGCTGAGCCAATCAGGCAGGACGTGGTTATAGCGTAATATTGAACACATTGACAATGTTCAGATTATCATACTTTCTCTCTTTAGTAATTATGGTGATCACAGTACAGTGTTTTGGGATTGAGATGGAAGTGAATTAAAAAGATCTTGAGGAAAGATGTTTCACAGATATATTGTCCAGTTAAACACATATCTCTCTGGTTTGTAAGGTTACATTACATCATATCTAGTCCCAGTCATTGTGATGAAGATGTGCACTCATCAACCCATGCAGACATTTTAACATTACATAGAGCAATACTTGAATAGGTATTTATAATGTACACATACCCCACTCCTTTTTATGTATAAATTATATTAGTTCACTGCTTTACATAATGAACTTCACCTGGGCATCACATTTACACACTGGGATTTCCAGAAGACCATCAAACTGCATTATATAGACAAATTATGGTTATTCTCATAGTGTTGTTAGTTAATCTTTACTGCTGCTTGTGATTTAAACGTTTTTATGCATTTCCTGTAATTTTTTTCCTTTCCTTAATACTGATACATTTTATGTGATATCACCTGTATGAATTATGGAGATTGGTGTCCATTTGACACCAGTTAAAAGTAAATAACTCCTATTCTTTTACATAACAAAGGAAGTACTTGTGGAAAGCTGTATTATATCTGTGGTAACCATCAAACAATGTGTGGTATTTCCTGGTCTGATATATCAGCATGTAATTACAGGGTAGGAAAATCATGATAGATAAATTCACGGTCACTAGGGTGACATGGAATCATTGTTATGCCCATGGCCATATCTTATGACTCTGACTAGAGCAATACTGTCATGTTAGTAGTTTGAGAGTGTAATATAATTCAAAACTATTAAAAAGATGAAGAAGGTTTGTTTAACAACTAAGAACAATACATCATTCTCAATCACATGTACGAGCTCCTGCACAGTTACCAAACCACAAAACAGTTGACAACATGTCTTGTGTGAAAACAAATGTGCAGGATACAAACATTGAATTAAGTACTATGCAAAAAATACCTGTGTTAAGATATACTCACTCATAAAGCTTAAATATATTGGAGCTGACCTTCATGTAATATATATATATACAGCCAGAGACCTGTAGTAGTACCCTTGTAGCCATGCTTCATGTATTATCCATGCTTTATTTTCTCTTAGAAAAAATTTGGAACAGTACATGGAGGACGAATCAACTTCTACGGATCAGTAAGTTCCAGTGATGTCAGCGTAACCATATAATATTTGTCAAAGCACTATGATCATGGTGAGCAAAAGGCTTGCACATAACACATTAGCACTGTGATCATGGTGGAAGAAAGGCTTGCACATGTAACAAACTATGCAGAATTCATCTGATGCAGCTTCCTGTGGCTTTTATATGACAACATAGTGCAGTGGTTTTATGACTTTAATACAATGTTCCCCACTGTATTGTAGATTACTGATTCAGGAATGTTAATAAATTTAACATGACTAGGATTTCCTTATTTCAGTGGGGAAAAATTCTCTTTCAATCCTTTATTTTGCTTCAATTATTTCATTACTGATGTTCAAAATTCTTTATTTCTTCTCGTTTGTGTTTTGTAATAATGAAATAATAAAAATAATTGTGTGTAGTGCTTAACCATATAAAATAATGCTTGTTGATAAAACTGATCAGCAAATGAAGGATATCAGAACATAATAAGATTTTATCATTATCAGTGTATAAGAAACTTCCTAAAGAATATTTCATATATTTTGTGTAAAGGTTCTGCAGAGTTTGTTAAACGTTACCAGCATAAACGTGAAGTGTATACTGTCTTCATTGGTTGTGGTATACCTGTACTTAATGCACTCTTGTTCCAGGTGGTAGTTTCTTGCCTCAAATCTTTCAATACCTCAGTGATTATAAAAGAAGAAGAAATGGCATAGTTGCTGTTTGTATGTCTTGCTTCGAATCCTTGCAATCATTATCTGAAAGTTTGGCTTTAATTGAGCCCAGTCTATACCAAATTCAATTTTGACTATTAGCTGCTTTATAGAATAGATATTGATATCTGAAAGAAGTGATATTCTAATCTCTCTGAGGAAATGAGAATCAGGAAACCTACAGCAGTTTTATGGGTTTGATTGACTTCTTCCTCTGAGCAGTGATGTGTACATCAAGCAATTTTCTGGTGCATTTCCAGTGTGTTCTGTTTTTGTGAACTTTCTGAGTTCACTGTCTTCCTGTAACTTTCACTATCAAATTTATTCACCCTTTATATATTAATATCATTGATTACTATGTTTCTCTTTTGTAATTTTGTCTTGATCAATGAAAATTTAACAATATTCAGGTAAGCTATAGAAATTTATACCAGTAACTATTGATTCCCATCAGTAGGAGGCAGTGTTGTGAAGCTTATATTCACATTAATTGAAATACATTGCAAAAAATCTAAATTACATGTATTTTAAACAATGTGGTCCGAAGAAATAATACTGCTTCGAAAGTGCTTTCAGACTTATTAGATATCTAAAAAATAGCATAAAATGGATTTTATTTCAATGATTCATTAAGTAAATGATGTTAAAAAACAATTGGTCCCTGAAGATGTTGGAATTTCAATAAGTTCAATCATGAAATATGGTCTATTGATTGACGGACACTAGGTAAATTTGAAGCTTGTAAGACTGTAGACATACAAGAAAGTCCTGATACTGTGCCAAGATTCAGCTGTCTAATAACTTGTCCATGTGTCTTATTGTTTGGTTGAATTATGGCGAAAGCTGGAATGACCTTTCTTTTTAATGACTGATATTATATATCTTAGTAGACAGACAAAAGTGATTGTACTAACCTTACTGTATAGTGATTAGTGCATGTGTGTACAGAGGAAGTAGTGTGTGGTTACGTAAACTCATCGTAGAGTTGTTTTTGACCTTATTTGTAATATATCATGTGGCTCTTAACAACAGGAAATGACAAAGTAACTACATCAATTTTAATTATTTGCATAAAGTTGTTTTGATTACAAAGGCTAAGGATTGGACAGGTAATAAGCAGAGTGTATTAAGTGTACTGTTGAGTATGATTTAGCATTAACTGCTAGTACAGTGACATTATAACAGTTGTTTGTGCTAGCACCTGTAACTTATGTGAGAATTGTATGTTGTTTTATTTTGGTGTGTTGTACATGTATTAGGTTCACCTGAGTTCGGGTTCTTATTAAATATATAGGTGTGTCTTATGTGTCACTGGAGTATAATTAATGTAACAGTTGAAGACCAGAAGTATCCTGGTTTCACAAAAAATTCATTAATTGACAAACAAATCTTATCTATTTAATAGTATTTAGAAATCCTCCATGACAGTGATCAGTAATATTTAATATCTGAACATGCGATACACCTGTAATTTGGTCGACTTTGAAGTAAGTGTCTTCCTAATTATTAAGAATGACAACATTCTTGGGTTTTTCAATCTTAAAGATGCACTTGGTAGAGTTTGGCACAACCTGATTCAACAACTACATTTTGAAAATAATTTCTTATGTTTCAACTTTTACCTCAGAGAGAGGGTGTGATGTACAGAATGCAGCCAGTTACAAACTCCAGCATTAGTTAGTCCAACTGGAGATTTATTCCAGAATATTTTGAAATGAAAATAGAAAATTTGTAAACATAACAGACTTGTGAGTCACAGACACAAGAAACTGTGATACTGCTAGATCTTCATTTGATAAGTAAAACAGGTATGTAGCATTTTAGCCAGGTAGGTATGTTATCTTGATTAATGGCTAAAATATCAGCTGGCATGAACCAGCTAGATATAGCACTACTGTATGTGGTCACTCCTGTCTACGATTAGTAGGTGAAGGTCAGACTAATTGATTTAGCATAGAATATACTGTTTGTCCATAACTGTACTAATTGATAATTTAATGTAGGATTATATAGGTATTTTTCATAGGTACACTGGTAGACATAATTGTGAGACAGGTATGTATATATATAACCAGGTATATACTTGTATGACAGTATAGAAATCAGCCTCTTTCTATACTACACACATGTATATATAAGCTTAAGACACAAAACTTTATTATGTCTGCGACACTTAAGTCTGCAAGGTTTATCTTCAGAACTCTGAATTCAATATGACAAGTACAATAAAAAATTATTTATGTGTGTATGTGAAAAGAATACATGAAATAGAAAGGATATTTATTATGCAGTATAGTTAGCGATCAAATGTATGGTGACCTAGGCCCATGATGTGTGGGTCCCGTACAGGTCTATGTAATGGATGTGTTGTAGTCTGGCATGGTGTAAACACGGTGACAGCATGACAATGTGGGCCAGCCCTTAGTGGGCGTCGACCCTGGAGCCCAGCAATAGGTTTTGGGGATGTACAGTGCATGGTAGTTATAGACAAATCCATATTAAGATACTGAAGTTTAGTAAGTGAGAAGCCAGGATAAACAAGACAAAACTCTGTACAAGTTTACTGTAACTTCAGCTGTTTAATTTTAGATCTTAGCCATGGTGTTAAACCAACATGTCAAACCTGATCCTGTATTAGTGTTGCTGTTTTCTTCATATAAAAACAAATGCATTGATATCCTAATCTTGTATATGTTCTACCCGACTGTGTGTTCCACTTCAAATTCATGCTCTTTAATATATATTTTCATCGTTGTTTATCTTTACTTCAGACCATTTAACCACAGATTAACAATCATACTGTACACTATATTGATCATACAAGGATGTTACATACCTGTGTACCTATTTTGTAGCAGTTGTTCATTAGTTGATTTCTGTTTTACAGAGGAGCCGCACCACATCAGTACCATTATGAGAAGTTCTCTGCCCCAGCCGTCCCCAGCAAGGCTGGAGGTCTTATCCAATACGGAGATTCTCCTTCATCAGTAAGTGCTGGCAGTGCTAAACAAAAACACTGAAACCACACTATGGTATATTTAGGAATTTAATGATAGGCTGGAAAAAGCTATTGTATGTAGATCACAGTGTTTAAATTACTTACTGTCATTTAAATCTGTAAATATTGGATTGCGAATACAGTCACTGTATCTACATGTAAAAGGTTACATTAACAACCATCTTATACATAAATCAAAGGTAGTCATTGACAAAATACAAACATATGTATAATACAAGGACAATGATATAAAAAAAAATTGGAATCAATTATTATCAGTGCCACATTACAAACCCAAGGTGAAGACACCATAAGGACAGAGAATTTTGATTATATGCACACTTTTATAGACCATTGTTAGCTTAGATTTCATATATAGGTCTGTATGTTATCCCACACAAAGTTATAGCCTCACCGAGATGGGTTTGTTGTATGAGGTTACATATTGTGACCTTTTCAGTGTTTACTTTAAGACTGACATTGTGTACTTTTGGGAGAGGAAAAAAGTCTGGTCAAGTGGTGTTCTTTAAGCTAGAATGATGCATTTTCTGACTGTCTTAAGTCTTCAAAGTGTTTACTTTTTTCTCACGTCTTGTTAGCTTTTGTAGGAAGAAAGTTAGGGATACACAGACTTGTCAAGTCTTCTTTAAACTTTTGTAAAAAAAAAGGTAACAAGGATTTGGCCTGAATCTTTGATTATCTGATGGAACTCTGTAGGGCAGAAAATTGACACAGGTAACCAGCAGTATCTGTTACACTTTTTCGTGGTAATTTTATAGAAGTCTTGTTTAAAGTCTACAAGTAGCTAGAAGGATATTGGCCTACAGTTTAACAGATAAGGCCATTTGTCAGGTGTTCATACCACAGGTAGTCTAGGTAAATCAGATTTCCGGTTGTTTGGTCTATTTTACTTCTCAAAGCGAGCACAGGTATTAAACAGTAGCATGTATTTAAGGTTGATGATCTGTCAGAATTTCATTCAGTTTATGAAAGAAGAAATACCTTGTCAAATCAATGTCATACACAGCTTAAATCTTTATGAATAAAACATTTAGGATTTGTCAATTAGTTTATTAAGTGTTGTGTATGTTTCACCATTTGCTGATGTTAGGTTCAAAAGGTTAAAAGGAGCTCTGCTTATTAAGTATGAATGTACATCTTTGAATCTGAATTAATAAACTTGTACCCACATTGTAGTATAGAAAAATAAATAGAATAAACTTGTTTACAACCATACTACAGCCCAGTGATTTGCCAATGTTTCCATCCATTAACTAATAGCTGACACACCTGTACAAGGCATTAGTCAACCAATCCCGAAAACTCCAACAAAACTGGTGCAGTTTCCTTATCACAAACCCCAAAACACCTGACCATTTAACCATTTGTCTACCACCTCCTCAAGCTACACCACACCTGAACATGGCACACCAGAACACGTGTTCCTGTACACATGAATACATGTATTATTTCTCCAGCATACCTAAATACAAAAAAAATATGTATATGCATGACTACTCCATCACACAAAACATGTGTACTTTACTCCAGCACAACAGAATACATGTGTATATATACTGTACTATTTCTACAGCACACCTGAACATGTGTACCAATACTTCTATACACCTGAACACATGTATCATTTCCAGCACACTTGAAATGATGCGCAGTAACTACAGCACACCTGAATATGTGTTCAATTACCCATTCTGATTACCAAGAAGGCCTAGAATCATGATATTTGGGTGCAGAAGTTCACCAATGTTTGTAAGAAGAAATGACTTTGATCAGTATGCAAGGTCACTGCGATCAAGTATGTCGAAATCTGTCAAACACTTCTTCTGATTAACGACCTAGAAAGATGTTTGGCTCCTACTTTTTTAGGATAAATTTTTGGATAAAATTTGTGAAAAGAGTGCCCTTGATCAACATGGAAGGCCACTTTGAATTATATCATGTATGTCAAAATTCTCATATAACCTCTGTTTAATTCAAATTCCAAGAGTCATGATATTTGCCTGGTAGGTTCCTAGGATAGCTGACAAATATTGTTTAAGGAAATGACCCTGACCATATTCAGAGTCACAGATGCCAGTTTTGTCGAAACAGCTAAATGGGTTCACCTGCCCATAAATGATATTGGCTGAAGTTTTTCACAACAGGATCCATCAGTTGCAGACAAAATATTCAAAGTTGTTTCAAATAAATTTGATCAAGATGCAGAATTTGAACTTTCATTGATACATGTATTTATGACAAAAGTTCAATACCAGGTAAAAGATGGAAGCCTTGTGTTATTTGTCTACTGTATTATTTAAAATTTTAGAGAAATTCTGGCCCTTCTTTGCTCTATAAATATTGAAAATATTAATAGTATGTTACAAAGTGTATGATGGCACTTTCTATTGAATCATTGCTTATATAGAGACAGAGCACTGAATACACTGAAGATCTTGCTGGAAAGGCTCACATTTTATAGTGACAGTAGATTTTCATCCTAGTTGATATTATTTTTTATGATTGTAGTAATTTTTTTATACAAATAATGACATAGGAACACTAATCAAATGAGATGAACATACATCTGGTTAGATATTTGTGACGGTGTCTGTAGACTGTCTATCAATAATGTTTCGGAATGGTACGGTCCTCCCACACACATTCCTACTGTGTAGACTCAGGATACAGTCATACCTTACTGTTTCAGACACATCTTACCTATACAACCAGTTACCTAGAACTGCTCCTGTTTATTGAAATGTGTGAGTTGTATGTATAGAATGCACAAGTGAGGTACTTTGGTCGATCTTTTTATAGACAGAAAAACAGTGATTCACATATCCCTGTACATATGTCATTAATTAATCGGTGTCTTCATTTTTAATAAACAAAGAAATGAGATATGTGGTACATCATTAACCTTCGAGTATTATGTCAGGATGTATGAAATATTTTACAGATAGGTGTTTTATGCTGTCAGATATTCATAACATACTTGGACTATAGTTTATGACGTAGGTATTAACAGTATGAAATGTCAGTGTGTATTGATAAATAGTGTTTCAAGTTGTAAATAAGGTAAACGGTTGAAATCTAAACAGCCTGAATGTAGATTAATGTGACAGTTACAAAGTTTCTATAAAGGTTGGATAGGCGATTAATATGAAAACCTTAATACTAAGTGAATACAACAGACTCCTCTTTGTTCAATGTACATAAAAAGATCACAGGCCTTATACACTCTACACTCAACTTTCACATTTAAAAGTCTGCAGTGGTTGTCATTGGTTTCATTCATTACCATTTTATTTCTAGACAGGATATTACTTTTTCAGATTACTGCTTTCAAGTCTGCATTCTTTGAATTATTAACATATTTATAATATTGACGTTTTTTAGTTAGTGTACATGTGCTGTCATGTGGCTAAAAATAAAGTACAGAGGTGTGGAGCTTATTCTTAATATAACAATAGAAATTTATCGATTATATCAATATACCTTTAAAGGCAATAGTAAGGCAGTATTAAATGATTAAATGAAACCATATAGGAAGTTTTGACAGGAATGATCAATAGACCTATTTATCCAGAATCCTTGAGTTACATAATGATATATTGTTTGCTCAATCTGGTTTGTCATTTAAGGATTTATAAGATGTTTGGAATCTGATGATTCATCGACATCCTATGCAGATCAAACAGATTTATTAGATATACAACCAATACCACATATTTCTATACATACCAAATATATTGTAAGTGGTATTGACTTGGGTTGGTTATAGCCACATCATAATGTAGTTTATTACATACTTTGAACATCTAAATCTATGGTATTACATACTACTGTAACCTGCTCTGGCATTCTGCAGAATTGAGAATTTATTTTCTTCTTTGATTCAGCTTAGAGGACTTGGTAGAATTAAAAGTGTTTTCCCACTCAGACCTCTATCTATTTTCTTCTTTATTAGATTTAAATGTGGTGGGAATTCTGATTATACTCTCATTTGTGTTTAGAAATCTCTGATAATCCCACTTAAAAGAATGACCTGATAAGCTGCAGTGTCATATTGATTAAACCAGAAAAACATTTAAGTGAGAATGCACTTTAAAACTAACATTTCATATATCTATGGACTTTGGGTATTCTTAGAAATTTCATTTATAATTATTTATCTTTGTCTCTAGCTTTTTTCAGTTAAAATCTTACTTATTTTCACAATTAGACTGTTTGATCTATATAGTACATATTTCTTGATGATTAATTAGGACAACGCCCCTTCTTTAAGAGTTAAGGCCCCTTGACTTATCAATAGTACTTTGTTACTTAGAAGTCCTATATTGATAAGATGATATTAGATATTCAGATGTATAAGAATAGTCATTTGATATTATACATATATCACACACTGATATCCGCTCTGATCACAGAGTCATAGGTCAAAGACTTCAGTTAAGGAGACTTAGTTACAATGGCAGACAGGTCAAGACAGAAAAGAATTTAAACCTTTCAGCAAATGACATCCATTTAGCATAAAAAAATCATTTCAAATCGGTTGCTATGATTTTCAGAATTAGACAAGTCAAAATTCAAGTGTACAAGTAAACATTAGCTAAAAATCTGGTGAAGCCACTGTGTGTAGGAGGATGATTGACATTATCTAGCCATCTCATCTTCCAGGCTCAGTAGCAGTAGGATCTCTCAGGGTGTTTATCTGTAGCTCCTAAGGAATGTTATACTCCCTTCTATATTGTCTGCTTTCATTTACAAGTATTGTCTTCCAGGCAGAAATGTTCTAACTGCTTGTAACAATAACAGTGTTAGCACTTCGCCTACATACCTATCCTGTTGTTTTGGCGATTAACCACATATCAGTACGCTCACACCTTTGTACTCCATCCAAATTTCTAATTATACAATTATTTGTGACTCTTGATTAGTCTGAAGTTGAAACACCTAAACAAGATGCAACAACAAAGTTTCATAAGGTATTGATAAACCTATTTGTAAGTAATTTAACTCTCTGACCAGTTACGATTTTCAATGTACATCATTAATGATAAGACAGCTGTTATACATGTTTAAAGCACTTGATGTAAATGAAGACTTTCGCACCACACCGTCTTTTACTGAAACCTGCGTGTTTGGAGATCCATCACATGTCCTATCACACAACCATATGAAGTGACTAAAGTGGATCTCCTAATAGAATTTGTGTTTATAGATATTCAACATCATAGAGTGTCCTTATGCTACACCACTTCAGTCTGTAGGTCGTTTCTCTTCCGCTCTTCCATTGCTACATTTACATGGAAAAGTGTGTAATTGTTTTGTTTATATAATGTATTAAAATAAAGTGGACCGGTGAAAAATTGTCTTGTTGGTCTAAAAAGTGATACATAAGTATAACTGAAGCATCACTGATTAAGATGAAGTTATACCAATTGTAATGTTTCTTTATCATCAGTACTTGCACATTAAAATTCAGAAGTATTGGGAAAGACTTGTTGTTACTTCTTTAGCTGGGCATCTGTTAATCACCATTACCCTTTGTTTTCTAGTAGACAAAATAATGGATATGATTTATGCAAGTGCAGAAGGATTTTGAAATGATTTCTGCACCCTTTTTCAAAGTTAATCTGGTTTTTATCATGATTACTATCTGGAGATTGTAACTATATATATATATTGTTACTATATTTTGCCTGGTTATTTTTGCCTCCTGATATTTTCTAAGGTTAATGTTTTTTGTTTTTGTTTGGGTTTTTTTATCTTTAATTAGATTTTAAAGTAGTCACTATCAATTCTAAATGGATGCATTTTATTACAGAACTACAACACTTCTGCCCGTCCCTATGGAGCACCACCACAGACACCCCCCACCCAGTCCTCGACTTTCCAGTCCCAGCTCAATAACGTGGCACAACAGACACAGAATATATCCTTGACACCGTGAGTTAACTTATTGAGTTTTTACTTTTCCACATTAACCACAAGCATGCTGTGTGTATGTCCAGTCAACTCCCTCAGGTAGAGGAGGCAGCAACAAGACCTGCCTTCTGTCAGCTTTTGAGGAATTCATGTCTAAGGACAGTCACACATCCAATTGGTGAACAGCTTTTCACTGTCATTCTTACAAGTGTTTTAATTATTGTAAAACTCTGTGACAATGACATAATGTTGGTTGCCTTTTTAAATGATTCTCAGAATGTTTGAAGTTGATAGTTTTTTCTGTGTTATTGCAGTTTTGAGATAAAAAAAATTGTCTTAGTCATTTGTAACTTGCTATGATCTCCTATTTGACCTCTCAGAGTGAAGAAAAGTATTCAAAACAAATTTAAGTTGAGAAATTAAACACATGTTGCAAGATTGACTGTTAAAATCAAATTTAAATTTGAACAAGAACGTACCTTGAGTCCATTACAATAATAGGTCTATCAAAGTTACAAATGGTTAACATCTTTCCCTTGGAATGAGCCAAACTGTTTGCATGGCTTTGTTTTAGATTTTACACCAGATTCATGGTGGTTTTCAGGATGGAGTCAACTTACTCTATGTATAGATAGTAAAATGAACAAAAGTGTTCCAAAATAAATTCTCAAAGGAAGTTATTTTCATCACATTTTTTGTCTTAAGATAACGAGTCGTTTTTGGCATGAAATGTTGTATTTTTAAGATGCTTTTGAACTTCTTTCTTTGAACATTTGATTTATAGTATGAATTATTGATACATGTCTGATATGACCCAATCTTGGTGTTGGACATTTTTTTATGTCTGGCATTGAAGATTAACTATATATGACTCTATGCAGTAAGCCTGCAGTCGCAGATTTCCAGACTGCTGCCCAGCGATATGCAGAACGGGAGGACAAACCCACGTCAGCCACCCAACAATCTAAGTCATTCAAGACTCTACAGGAAGCCATAGATAGTGGACAGGGTAAGGGGCAGATAGTCACATTTCTGTAAGGGAAAGGGACTGTCACATTTTTGTAGGGGTAAGGGACTGTCACTTTTCTGTAAGGGAAAGGGACTGTCACATTTCTGTAAGGGAAAGGGACTGTCACATTTCTGTAAGGGAAAGGGACTGTCACATTTCTGTAAGGGAAAGGGACTCTCACATTTCTGTAAGGGAAAGGGACTCTCACATTTCTGTAAGGGAAAGGAACTGTCACATTTCTGTAGGGGAGAGGGACTGTCACATTTTTGTAGGGGTAGGGGACTGTTACATTTCTGTAAAGGAAAGGGACTGTCACATTTCTGTAAGGGAAAGGAACTGTCACATTTTTGTAGGGGTAAGGAAGCAGGAAGTCTTGTAGAGGGAAGAGGCTGATGTCACATTCTTGTATGCAGAAATGGGCAGTTCATCAATTTCTTGTCGGGGAAGGAAGTTGATAATTTGTCCCATTCTTTTAGCTAGGAATTGTCATGATAACGTAGCAGGAAAACGCAGTAAGTTGCACCATCATAGGATAATGGGTTAGTTTGTGGCATATGTTAATTGAGAAAGGCACAACTATGTAAATGAAGAAAGTAGGAAAAGTCTTTTCACATTCTTAGGAGGGAATAATAAGTTACTTATAGATATTACATATTTGTCTGAAACTGTAGCATTGAAAGGGGAGATAAGTCATATTCAGGTAAGGAAAAGAACTGTTGCTGCATAAAGAATACAATGCAGTTAGTCACATTTTGATAAGGAAAGGGATGTGATGGGGAAAGCTGTAGTTATTTACATAGAGTAAAGAAATCAGTTCCTTATCATATAGTATGGGATATTGTTACAGCTGTAGATATATAGCATAACAGTTACAGCTCAATAAACATCCAGATTTATGTAATTAGATCTTGTTGGAGAAAAAAACATGATTAGAAAATACAAAACATCTGTCTATTGCTGTGTACTTGCTGCCAACAGTTCAGGAAATGGTTCGATCACCAAAAGCTGTATTTCAATAACTAATCAGACATTTGAACAAAGGTACAAAAGTGGATATTTATTCTTATCGTTGAACATATGTGCATGCCAATTTCAGATCCTCCCTCTGCCTTACTCCCCATTCAGACAACTAACCCTCCAGTCGATAGGCGCAGCCCCTCTCCCCTTCTGCAAGGGGCAAGTACCACAGGATTACCCACACTCAACAGCAGCCATGTCGCTCAGTTCAACAATATCACTCAGTTCAACTCACCAGCCAGCCTTTACAGCAGTGACAGTGCCAATAGTTCATTCCAGGCCCTAAGGTTTGTCTCCATGGGATCTACAGCCAATACCACATAGACTATCTACCCATTGCTTCTGTATACTCCATGTATATATAATGCTATATAGCCTATATGTAAGCAAGGTCACCCCTGGTGGTCTCATCTACTGCTCACAAAAACCACCTCAGATCTTCAGCATATGTGGTACCCAGAAATAATGTTTGACTGGAATTTTGTATGTTTCATGTCAGAGGAACTTTTCTTAATTAGTCCAATTAGTGTACCCTTGTATGCGATCTGGATCAGTGTGGTACTTGTAAGCTGTGGATAGAGAGGACACCAGGTGTCACACAAGTGGATAGGTTATTATACAATTTGTAATTTTACAGAGTTCCCCCGCAGGGCCTCTCAGCCTGCCATACCTTGGAAAAGGTACATCACATTTGATTGTGGTTGATTCTGCATACGGTTTTGACGTAGTAAAAGAAAGTGGTCTATATACATATGATTAATCTAGATGATTTGGTGTGTTGGTTTAAATACAGTTTGAAAGACATTATGATGATGATGATATATACAGAGTTAATCTAGGTTCCTACTCAAAACATATTGACTGTCTCTTAGACAAAAAATCGGTTTTATTTTCATATAGAATGCTTTAGCCTAGATCTCCAAACGCATGATTCCCATCTGATGATGACTGGTAGTATCAGTAATGATAGTTATTATTGTATTTAGTCCTAGGTTATCATGGAGTATGTGCATACTTCTATATCTTGCAATGTATATGTTACATATAGATGAAACTATAAGTTTGTATACACCTGTAGCCCTCGATCTACAGCTATCTTTATGGAGAGTGAACCAACAGCCTTGGGGACTGAACTGGTTATCTCCCTTGCCTGTATATAACAAGTGTCTGATACCCTTGCATGATCATCCTTTGTTATTCCCAGCATGCACATAATTTTTCAGAACAAACGGAAACACGTCCGATACAAGCAGTGGAGGAGAAAAAGATGTGGATGATTTTGGCCGAAAAATCTACAGACCATCAGAAACATTTAAACTTGTACATGAACAAGATGATCCCTCTCCTAAACAAGATGAAAATTTCAAATCTAATCCATCACGGACTTTTCAGATTTTACAGCAACAACTAGGATCAGGGTAAAATTCAAACATTTATCTCACCATGTTATTTGCTTCACTGATCTCATATCTTTTTAATTTGCTTTAATCTTTATAACAAAACAAAACATTTTCATATTGCCACTAATGATAACACATTTCACAAAGTGCACAATAAGGCTTTATCCTAGGTGAGTAATATCTGGCAGGGAACTATTCATAAAATAAAAAGAGGAGAGCCCAGTATCAGTAGACAAGTGATATTGTATTTATCATGCAACTTTGCTGTCAAGCATGAAGAGAAAAAAGATTTCAAGGCTGAACTATATACATGCACATACCATACTCTCCAGTGTGTATAAGGTCTGTAATACATAAAGCATGTATGCATCTCTGTGTGATGTTTGTGAGAAAAGTTTTGTACAAGTTCAACAGCATTAACAAGAATTACTAATATATAAAATGTATAAAAGAAGCCTTTACATTTTAAGTGTAGATTAAATTTGCCTGGTAAAAATATATCATATTAATTTGTATGCAACATTATAAATTACAATTGTTTTAAGTAAAATTTGTCAAAAAAATTATCTTGTAATTTTTATACAGGAGTATTTGTTGCTAATGTACCAAGATAAAAAAAGCAATAAGTCTGTTTCTTAATCTGAATCCGTTTCTTCACAAGATTTTAAGTTATTTTTGTATATTTACAAAGTGAATGTTCACTGGAAATATAAAAGAATAAATAATATGAATTAACAACAGGTGCTGTTGATAATACACATGCTCCTCCTTTGGCTACTTATTTATGTTTATGTCATTACAGATCTGCTGCCCCACCGCCAGCACCTCCAGGTAGGTACATTACGTATAATAATGGGACAGACAGTCGCTTCATTTGGATGATAGGAAATCTGTGTGTATCCTATACAGTTGAATGTTTATATATACAGATCTAAGGGACAGGAAGGGGTGTAATGTGTGTATACAGAGGCACCGGTGTAATGTGTGTATACAGAGGCACAGTAAGGGGTGGTATGTGTTTATACAGAGGGACAGTAAGGGGTAAGATATGTCTATACAAGGGGGAGGTAAGGGGTGATGTGTGTATACAAGGGGGAGATAAGAGGTGATGTGTGTATACAAGGGGGAGAATAAGGGGTGATGTGTGTATAAAAGGGGGAGGTAGGGGGTGATGTGTGTATACAAGGGGGAGGTAAGAGGTGATGTGTGTATACAAGGGGGAGATAAGTGGTGATGTGTGTATACAAGGGGGAGATAAGAGGTGATGTGTGTATACAAGGGGGAGATAAGGGGTGATGTGTGATATGTATGTATACAGGTGACAGTTAGGGTGATGTGTGTATACAGGGAGACAGCAAGGGGTGATATGTGATAGGGGACAATAAGGTATGATATGTGTGTATACAGAAGGGCAGTTAAGGGTGATATTTGGCTAAACAAAGGGAGCAGAAATGACAACAGCACTTTACACTATTTGTTGATGTGATATTTTTAGATATTGGGGAGATTGGGAAGGAAACCTTAATGTGTGGGTATTTCAAAACCAGATAATGAATAATAAAGAATGGAATGCTTCGTATAAAAACTCAATATTGATCTTGAATTATTCCTTGAATTTTTTACTCTCATGTAAGTATGCTATGTATCATAAACCAATAGATAGGGAAAAAATGAAGATTTTTTTTTCAAATTTTGTAGGTGGGAATTGCATGTACAATGCACTATATATACAATTCTAAAGAACGTTTTAAAATGAAGGAACATCTGTAAAATGTGTTTATTTGTCAATTTCTTTATTTTATAATTGATGACTTGATCCATTTGAGTATTGGAATTTACAAACACCAGACATTGTCATCGTAATATAATTAGTGTCATGCTAAAATCTGTCACAGCTGCAGGGTAATAATTTACATGATATTTGTTTAGGTTGGTCTTTGTTCGTTTTTGATAAAAAATAATATGACTGTGAATTTTGACTGTATTAAGTAAAGTGCATGATGATCTGCTTTGCACACCCTAAAATTTGTAATTCTTCTAGACAATAACTTAAGAATTTAAGTAGATCATTAAGAAGATAGCTTAAGTACCTATGTAATGTCTTCTTGCTGTCTAATCATGTTGTATAACGTAACTTGTTACATGTTTAAAACTGCAAATTTGCTTATACTAATTTTCACCTTAGCTGCTTGGAATGCTTCTCATTCAATATTTAAAATGATAAATAAAAAAATAGCACTACCTAACTATTTAGTTGCAAGTCAGTGGACCTTTGTACAACTTTCATTTTTGTTGTGGTTTCATCACTGTTTTCATTTGTACATGTTTATGTCTGGTTTGCTTCTGCTACTTGTAGAAACTTTGTACGCCCACCAAGGTAGAAGTGAATTTGGTTTTACTCGATATGTATTAACAATAGTTGCTTATAAAAACTTACTAACCTAAAATTTCAACACAAGTACTGTGACATAAAGGTATTAATTTGGACAATGTGAGTGTGAGATGCTGGATGTATGCTGATCCATTCCAGCTGTAGATCCACACTCTGTGCCTTCATGGGTCCCTGGGGTTAGTAAACGTCCAGACCTGCCTGTTGAGATTGCTGCAGAGAGGTTGTCAGAAGTTCTCCAAGATGCTCCTCAAGACCTTCCACAGATACAGCCCCTCATCAGCGAGGTCCCACAGGATGTGGTTCCACCTGAATTAGCGCCACCACAGGTGGCACCACCAGAGCTTCCTCCAAGTGAACCAACTCCTCCTCCACCGGAACCTCCCAAGCCACAGGTGGCACCACCTGTGGAGGGTGAGTGGGTACACCACCTGCTTGCAATTCTGTCCCTGTACCGGCCACCCAGTGGTGGTGTAGGCTGACAAGTGTCGTATACCCTCATGACTTGGATGTGTGGTCAAGCATGGCATCTCTTATGTGATGTTGAAACAGAGGAAGGGAACCCATCCCTACAGTTGCATGGTCCTCAAAAGATGCTCTAAGGCTTTCATGTGTGTGATTCTTAATCTCCCAAAACATGTACCTCTAAGAAATATTGAGTTCCCAATCAATCCAAACTGTGTGGATATCCTTGGTGAGATTTGTTTGTGTGGACATGAAGAATTTATTTTACAGAGGACTTGTTTTGCCTGAAATATGTCTACAAGACCTATTCATATATTACCGAGACTTTTCCACTGATGGACATATCTATGTATGTCAATGTTAAAAAGCAATTTCTTCAAAATAAGCATGCATTGAATTTTATGTGGTGTCACCAAGCGATTTGTGTGGATCATCGCAAGCCTTGTGGATAAAATGCTATTAAGCATATTTTATCTACCAAATCTAGAGGATATATAAGAATTATTCACATGTCCTTTCAACTGTTTCGGAAGTCCTTGAAATGGTATAGACTGTTCATAGACCGTTGTCATATCTGTTCTTAAAATCTTAATGCTGAACTATTCCAGCCTTCTAAAAACATGCCATTAATCCTGATGAAAAAACAAATTATCATATCTATATGCAGGTATAGCATGTTGAAATATGAATATATTAGGTTATACAAGTATGAGATTTTGTTGGCTCTAATGATGACCAATTCAGGTGATGATATATACATATGTACATATATATTCAAAAATTTTATTAATCAACAGGTACAAAAGTGTAATTAATGTTGATGAGATATTTCTTTATCCTTACTAAGGAAAACAATTATCAGAAGCTTTTAATGAACACTCTTTAGAATTCTAGTATTCATACATGTTCACATATCTCTTTGTACTTTTAGGATCTGTTCACATGTTTCAATGTAATTCATACAGTCAGGATCAAGATGTACACATGCTTCTATGAACATTCAGGGTCAGAAACCTGATTGATGTACACATGCTTCTATGAACATTCAGGGTCAGAAACCTGATTGATGTACACATGCTTCTATGAACATTCAGGGTCAGAAACCTGATCGATGTACACATGCTTCTATGAACATTCAGGGTCAGAAACCTGATCGATGTACACATGCTTCTTTGTACATTCAGGGTCAGAAACCTGATCGATGTACACATGCTTCTTTGTACATTCAGGGTCAGAAACCTGATCGATGTACACATGCTTCTTTGTACATTCAGGGTCAGAAACCTGATCGATGTACACATGCTTCTTTGTACATTCAGGGTCAGAAACCTGATTGATGTACACATGCTTCTTTGTACATTCAAAGCGCTTATGCACACATCTCTATAGGTTCATGATCAGATATATATGTACTTCTCTGGATGTTCAGGATATTTAGGATGCAGTTTGAAGGTTGTACACTAGCAATTTTATGTACAGTTACATCTTTGCTGACATCAAAGCCATTCTGTTGCTGTAATGTCAAAACAAACTGAAGAACACTTTGCTGCTTTCCTCAATAATGTTTAGAATTGATCGTTTTTCACCATTGGTGCATCATTTAGGCTGGGAATGTTAGCATGATGGTCTAAAACTTTACCTCCTTACAACAATTTTAGGCTGGGAAAAAAGTGGTTAATGCTTAGATACAAGTTAAGTGTAAAAAAAAATGACAGATAATGACAAAGTAAAAACAAAACTAAAACCAAGAAACCAAAGACCAAAATGTTGGGTTGTATTGATACGTATATCAGAAATGTGAAGTTGTCCAGATTTATCCTGCTTGCTCAGCATGTATTTATCCAGTAAGATTTCCTTCTTGTTAACAGTTATTTGCTCAGCTTCTTAATGCCTGCAGAAAATATCTTAGAAATTAAACTATGTAGATATGGTATGTTGCTTAAAACATTTTGAGTAACTCTAAATTCTAACTTCAATTAACTAACTTGTAGAAATCACATGTCAGGAATATAGTGTAATCAAGATCATTCTAACATCCCGGAAATGTTCATTATGTAATGATATACTACTAACACAGTAAAAATACAAATGTATATATTGAGATACAACCACTAACATGCTAAACCTAAAAATGTTCATGTAGATCAGATACAGTTCATATAATGACTAATTTATATTGTAGCACCCAAACCAGCTCCAGCTCCAGCTCCAGCTCCCGCTGCAGCTCCCGCTCCAGCTCCAGCTCCAGCTCCATCTCCAGCTCCGGCTCCAGCGCCACCTCCAGCACCAGTACCCTGGGCCACATCTGGCCCAAAGGCCACTGCCCCAGCCCCAAAGGCTTTTGTACCAAAGGTCCAGCCCAAAGCCCCCAGTGGTCCAGGTGTTCCTCGCCCAGGAGATGCCCCACCAAGACCAACAGGGACGGGAGCTGTAAGGGGTAAGAAGGGAGATGTTACTGTATACCAAGAGGGACAGGCCCTTCCAGGAGGAGCAAGGGTTCCCATCTGTTCTACTTGTGGCAATACTATCAGGTTAGTATACTTGCCAGTATCTCATGGATTATTGGTCAGTGAACACTACACATTGTATTGAATATTAAAGTTTTTTATGTAGAGAATCATTGGATTTTCTTAATGGAAACTACTCTATCTGATTGGTAATTCTTTTGATTACAATCTTACCTATGTCTGTCTGTATGTCTGTCCTGTTCTAAATCAGTGTCATATCTTTAGAGCCTTTTCAACAAGTTTGGATCATATTTACCCTATAGTATCATAACATCACATTCTACACCTGATGACATTCTGATTTGTGTTGGGACATTCTTTAAACATTTTCTTACACTTTTCTAGGTATTATATCCATTCATGGTCAAGTGGTTAATTTTTTTCATTTAGGGGTCCCTTTGTGGTGGCCATGCACAAGACATGGTGCCCAGACCACTTTGTGTGTGCCCAGCCTCGTTGCGGTATGAAGTTGCTTGATGTTGGCTTTGTGGAAGAGGGTGGTTTCCTCTACTGTGAAAAGGATTATGAGACCTACTTTGCCCCGAAGTGTGCTGTCTGTAACCAGTCTATTGTTGGGGTAAGGCTTTCACATATTTGTCAGTAATTATCTCTCCAGATTTTTTCATTATCAAGCAGCATTGTGCCTTTTTAAGTATTTTAAAGTTGTTGTTGACTATTCATAGTAAATATGTTTGTGTCCAAAATTTTGTACTTAACATTTCACACTCACCTGTTTCAGGAATGTGTTAATGCTCTGCAGAAGACTTACCATCCAGATTGCTTTACATGTCACCAATGTAAGCAGGCCATTGGTGGTAACCAATTCCATCTTGAAGATGGAAATGCCTATTGTGAACATGGTAAGCTCAAAAACTGCATGTTGTACATGGTAAATTTCTTCCGACCTGCATGTACAGTGAACATGGCCTCTGGCTCTAAAAACGGCAGATGTAAGCACCAATCTGTGATAAATAAGTCTAACCTGTTTTGTACAAGATGATACATCATCTTAAAATCATAATTGTGGCAGGTTTTAATTGTGCATAGAAACATCGAGGTCAGGGTTTAAATCCCATCAGAGGTACCATATTGAAAAAGCAATCTCAAGCTCCTTAGTCCACTGTTCTATCCATGAAGCCAAAATGAAATTCCCTCTAAAGTTAGGCTAGAAATGGGACATGATCATGTGTACTTTTAAACCAGCAACTCTACAACCCAATAGAATAACATTACACACATCAACTTCACGTGGCAAGTACACTGTGCACAAGCAAACTGTGCCCTGGTCAGTAAGATTACTTCTAGTGTTCTGCTATCTATATAGACTGGGGAAAAACTGAGTAATATAGTGGAATTGAAGGAATATTTCTGACATAATATGTTTCATTGGATATTTTTTCAAAAACTGCTAAAAATTTCAGGATTACTTAAGCCTTACATTGATCAAAAAATCTTAACTGTCAGATACATGTAACTTGGTCAATAATCTATTCTGTGTGATAGCAGCATGACCAGGGTTCTTTTACACACACACACACACACACACACAGTAGTGTTTTACATAAATTAAACACCAAATGCTGGTAATTGGAACCAAACAATACTAGTGTGATTATTAATGTACATGAAAATTGAAATATCAACTGAATTTAAATTCAAACAAAAACATGTTTTCAATATTTTGCTATTCTTTCTTGTGCAGACTGGAAACAATTATTTCAAACTATGTGCAAGGGATGTGCTTTCCCAATTGAACCTGGAGATCGCTGGGTTGAGGCCATGAGCAGCAACTACCACTCTGAGTGCTTCAACTGCTCTGTAAGTATCCCATTGATTAGCTGGCCTGGACATCTGAAAGTTTGTTGTCACTAAATAGAAAATGTATGTTTAGGAGCTACTGTGTTTCGATCTTACTTAAAAACAGAATTTCCTATAAATAATTTGATTGTGAATACTATTTTACAGTTATCAAACTACTGATATGATAGTTTTGTATAACATTTCTATGGTTTTATCTTGTAGACTTGCCAAGTGTCACTGGAAGGACAACCATTCTATGCAAAGGCTGGCAAACCCTACTGTAAAAAGCATGCGCGATAGAACAATATAATTCTGTTTATGTTGATGACCTACCACCCCTTCTGCACTGCCCAGATAGGGCACTTGTTTTGGAAATCTTGTCATATCACACCATGACAAAACCCCCACAGACTTGGGGGATGGAACCACACACTGTATTCCTTTCATAAGCTATTGACATTAAAAGAAGCTGTTGGTCAACTTGAAATCTTCAAACATGAATAAAGCAGTGTACTGCTATGCAATTGGTGTACTGATCCAAGGAAATTCTTCTCCTTGCTATCATTATGTATATTAGAACTAGGTTTTAATTTCATGCGTGATACTTTTATACCTTGCCAAATGTATTCTCTCATAGCACTGTGAACAGCCCTGCTCTCCAGACTCTTAAAGCTTTTTCGTGTGTAATGAATGGACAAGGGGACAAAACTCCCAGATTTAAAAAGTCATTTGAGACAAAACGTTTAAGAGATTAAATATCTGTTTCCTGTTGGTTAAAGACATTAACAGTGATCTTATCCTTGTGTGGCCCAGAATGACAGGGTTTAAATCTTAATGCTGATTTTTGTATATTTTGTAAACGTATACATATTTTTAAAATTGCATAATATATTTTCCTAATTAATGCCTTATTGATTTTGCCTCGAAATATTATTACTGGTACATTTTGATCCCAGTAATAGCTTTAATCCAATGGTAGTCATATGTCTTATTTCATTGCTATGGTTACAATATGAATGTTTTTTCTTGGCTGCAACTAAATTTACTGATAAGTAGACAACATACCAGTCTGACTCTCATGAAAGAATGCAATCAGAAAGGCAGAGCACATGCACCAGATAATCAGTTTTGAGGACAGACGGTCATTCTTGAGATTCAATATTGCCAAAGTTATCAGCATTACTTCATGAGTAAACGTTATACTGAAATGTTTACATGCTTGCTTCCATAGAATGGCTCATCAGTACAATTAGATGTACATGCTGAATGGAGAGCTTAACAAAAATGTTTTTATGAAATTCTGAATCAGCGACATTTTTGCATTTACCGGTAAAAGAAACAGCAATATTATTTGTTACTTTTGAAAAATTGAAAAAGAAAGGTTGGCATGTGTTTGACATGCGTCTGAATGTATAAAAGAAAAGTTCATGTGGTGTTGATACAGAACAGAAGTACCTAGTATTTATCTATTATAGTAATGTATGAGTTAATGAGAGATGAATGATATAGTAAACCAATGAAATAATAGCCTGATATACAGGTCACAAGAGTCTGTGTGTGGAGTTTACAGCCAGTTAAGGCCATACGTTGTTAATGACTTTAGCATTACAAGTCTTTTGAATTTTAATGCCTTATTAGTTTCATATTATTAAGCATTAACTATTTTTCACCTATGGTTTAACATTTTGATACTGTTGATTATATATTTACAATTATTGAAGTTGAATGGTTAGTATTTTTAATTATCGGAAACTGTTCCATGCCTAATAAGATTTGGGAATATTAATCAACAGGTTGAGAAAGCTAGAATACAACCCAAGGATTAGGAGTATACATCTCCAAACCTTTATTTTTCACAATACAAATAAAACTGGGAATCATTTTGATGAATAAGCTCGTTATGATTTTCCTTTGGATTTTATCGTCTTCTGAGAAACGATGGAAACATTGACGAAGATTCCTTTACTGAAAACTTATAAATCAAAGGAGGATTTGCAGTGTGTTAAATTCTTTAAATAGGTTTTAGGCATGATGTATCGGCTTAATTAACCTTATTGAGAATGTAAAATAGACAAATGATATATTTATATAATGTACATATAAACTATGATTATTCACTGCCAGCATATGTCCTAGGTACTAACATGGTAAATGTTTTTCTGTAGCCCCATGTATACCCATATGTATATCTACATCACTGGCAAGTGTACCAGAGTGCTGTGTTATATACAAACATTTTATACAGGGTTTTGGCTGAGTTTACTACCATAGCAAATCTTGTTGAAATGTATTTTCAAATCAATAGAAGAAATATTATTTGCCAAATCGTGACCTTTTAAAAATGATGTGATTACCTGATGAAGTGTCATTAATACGAGGAATGTTACAGAAGTCGAAAAACATTAAAATTTTCATTACAAAAATAAAGGTGTTTTTATTTGTTATGCCCTCGCATCTTGTATTGAATACTTGTGGGAACAGCAGTTCTAAAGCTGTAACCTGGCATGTATTGAATTCTCCATTGAGGGAACTGTAGATCTAACGCTGTGACCTGTCCTGTAATGGATTCTCCATGGTGGGAACAGTGGAGCTAAAGCTGTTACCTGGCATGTAATGAATTCTCCATGGTGGGAACAGTAGATCTAAAGCTGTTACCTGGCATGCATTGAATTCTCCATGGTGGGAACTGTAGATCTAAAGCTGTGGCCTGCCATGTAATGAATTCTCCATGGTGGGAACAGTAGATCTAAAGCAGTGACCTGGCATGTAATGGATTCTCCATGGTGGGAACAGTGGAGCTAAAGCTGTTACCTGGCATGTAATGAATTCTCCATGGTGGGAACAGTAGATCTGAAGCTGTGGCCTGCCATGTAATGAATTCTCCATGGTGGGAACAGTAGATCTGAAGCTGTGGCCTGCCATGTAATGAATTCTCCATGGTGGGAACAGTAGATCTAAAGCTGTGGCTTGCCATGTAATGAATTCTCCATGGTGGTAACAGTAGATCTAAAGCTGTGGCTTAACATGCAATGAATTCTCTATCGTAGGAACAGTAGATCTAAATCTGTGACCTGCCATGTAATGAATTCTCCATGGTGGGAACAGTAGATCTAAAGCTGTGGCTTGCCATGTAATGAATTCTCCATGGTGGGAACAGTAGATCTAAAGCTGTGGCTTGCCATGTAATGAATTCTCCATGGTGGGAACAGTAGATCTAAAGCTGTGGCCTGCCATGTAATGAATTCTCCATGGTGGGAACAGTAGATCTAAAGCTGTGGCTTGCCATGTAATGAATTCTCCATGGTGGGAACAGTAGATCTAAAGCTGTGGCTTGCCATGTAATGAATTCTCCCATGTAACAGAATCTAAAGCTGTGGCCATGTAATGAATTCTCCATGGTGGGAACCATGTAATGAATTCTCCATGGTGGGAAAAGTAGATCTAAATATGTTACCAGTCATGTAATGAATTCTCCATGGTGGGAACAGTAGATCTGAAGCTGTGGCCTGCCATGTAATGAATTCTCCATGGTGGGAACAGTAGATCTGAAGCTGTGGCCTGCCATGTAATGAATTCTCCATGGTGGGAACAGTAGATCTGAAGCTGTGGCCTGCCATGTAATGAATTCTCCATGGTGGGAACAGTAGATCTAAAGCTGTGGCCTGCCATGTAATGAATTCTCCATGGTGGGAACAGTAGATCTTAAGCTGTGGCCTGCCATGTAATGAATTCTCCATGGTGGGAACAGTAGATCTGAAGCTGTGGCCTGCCATGTAATGAATTCTCCATGGTGGGAACAGTAGATCTGAAGCTGTGGCCTGCCATGTAATGAATTCTCCATGGTGGGAACAGTAGATCTAAAGCTGTGGCCTGACATGTAATGAATTCTCTATGGTGGGAACAATAGATCTAAAGCTGTGGCCTGCCATGTAATGAATTCTTCATGGTGTAGATCTAAAGCTGTGGCCTGCCATGTAATGAATTCTCCATGGTGGGAACAGTAGATCTGAAGCTGTGGCCTGCCATGTAATGAATTCTCCATGGTGGGAACAGTAGATCTGAAGCTGTGGCCTGCCATGTAATGAATTCTCCATGGTGGGAACAGTAGATCTAAAGCTGTGGCCTGCCATGTAATGAATTCTCCATGGTGGGAACAGTAGATCTGAAGCTGTGGCCTGCCATGTAATGAATTCTCCATGGTGGGGAACTAAAGTGCCATGTAATGAATTCTCCAAAGCTGTAAAGCTGTGCCATGTAATGAATTCTCCATGGTGGGTACTGTAGATCTAAATCTGTGACCTGTCATGTAATGAATTCTCCATGGTGGGAACAGTAGATCTAAATCTGTGACCTGCCATGTAATGAATTCTCCATGGTGGGAACAGTAGATCTAAAGCGAGGGCTTGCCATGTAATGAATTCTCCATGGTGGGAACAGTAGATCTAAAACTGTGGCCTGCCATATAATGAATTCTCCAAGGTGGGAACAGTAGATCTAAAGCTGTGGCATGCCATGTAATGAATTCTCCATGGTGGAAACAGTAGATCTAAAGCTGTGGCCTGCCATGTAATGAATTCTCCATGGTGGGAACAGTAGATCTAAAGCTGTGGCTTGCCATGTAATGAATTCTCCATGGTGGGAACAGTAGATCTAAAGCTGTGGCTTAACATGTAATGAATTCTCTATCGTAGGAACAGTAGATCTAAATCTGTGACCTGCCATGTAATGAATTCTCCATGGTGGGAACAGTAGATCTAAAGCTGTGGCTTGCCATGTAATGAATTCTCCATGGTGGGAACAGTAGATCTAAAGCTGTGGCTTGCCATGTAATGAATACTTGTGGGAACAGTAGATCTAAAACTGTGGCCTGCCATATAATGAATTCTCCAAGGTGGGAACAGTAGATCTAAAGCTGTGGCCTGACATGTAATGAATTCTCTATGGTGGGAACAATAGATCTAAAGCTGTGGCCTGCCATGTAATGAATTCTTCATGGTGGGAACAGTAGATCTAAAGCTGTTACCTGCCATGTAATGAATACTTGTGGGAACAGTAGATCTAAAGCTGTGGCCTGCCATGTAATGAATTCTCCATGGTGGGAACAGTAGATCTGAAGCTGTGGCCTGCCATGTAATGAATTCTCCATGGTGGGAACAGTAGATCTAAAGCTGTGGCATGCCATGTAATGACTGCTGCTGGGACGAGTCAATCTAAAGCTGTGGCCTGCCATGTAATGAATTCTCCATGGTGGGAACAGTAGATCTGAAGCTGTGGCCTGCCATGTAATGAATTCTCCATGGTGGGAACAGTAGATCTGAAGCTGTGGCCTGCCATGTAATGAATTCTCCATGGTGGGAACAGTAGATCTGAAGCTGTGGCCTGCCATGTAATGAATTCTCCATGGTGGGAACAGTAGATCTAAAGCTGTGGCCTGCCATGTAATGAATTCTCCATGGTGGGAAAAGTAGATCTGAAGCTGTGGCCTGCCATGTAATGAATTCTCCATGGTGGGAAAAGTAGATCTAAAGCTGTGGCTTGCCATGTAATGAATTCTCCATGGTGGGAAAAGTAGATCTGAAGCTGTGGCCTGCCATGTAATGAATTCTCCATGGTGGGAACAGTAGATCTAAAGCTGTGGCCTGCCATGTAATGAATTCTCCATGGTGGGAACAGTAGATCTAAAGCTGTGGCCTGCCATGTAATGCTGTGGGAACAGTATATCGAAAGCTGTGGCTTGCCATGTAATGAATACTTGTGGGAACAGTAGATCTAAAGCTGTGGCTTGCCATGTAATGAATTCTCCATGGTGGGAACAGTAGATCTAAAGCTGTGGCTTGCCATGTAATGAATACTGGTGGGAAAAGTAGATCTAAAGCTGTCGCCTGACATGAATGAATTCTCCAAGGTGGGAACAATAGATCTAAAGCTGTGGCCTGCCATGTAATGAATTCTCCATGGTGGGAACAGTAGATCTAAAGCTGTGGCCTGCCATGTAATGAATTCTCCATGGTGGGAACAGTAGATCTAAAGCTGTGGCTTGCCATGTAATGAATTCTCCATGGTGGGAACAGTAGATCTAAAGCTGTGGCCTGCCATGTAATGAATTCTCCATGGTGGGAACAGTAGATCTAAAGCTGTGGCTTGCCATGTAATGAATTCTCCATGGTGGGAACAGTAGATCTAAAGCTGTGGCTTAACATGTAATGAATTCTCCATGGTGGGAACAGTAGATCTGAAGCTGTGGCCTGCCATGTAATGAATTCTCCATGAATTCTCCATGGTGGGAACAGTAGATCTAAAGCTGTGGCTTAACATGTAATGAATTCTCTATCGTAGGAACAGTAGACCTAAAGCTGTGGCTTAACATGTAATGAATTCTCCATGGTGGGAACAGTAGATCTAAAGCTGTGGCTTAACATGTAATGAATTCTCCATGGTGGGAACAGTAGATCTAAAGCTGTGGCTTGCCATGTAATGAATTCTCCATGGTGGGAACAGTAGATCTAAATCTGTGACCTGCCATGTAATGAATTCTCCATGGTGGGAACAGTAGATATAAAGCTGTGGCTTGCCATGTAATGAATTCTCCATGATTGAAACAGTAGATCTAAAGCTGTGGCCTGCCATGTAATGAATTCTCCATGGTGGGAACAGTAGATCTAAAGCTGTGACCTGCCATGTAATGAATACTTGTGGGAACAGTTGATCTAAAGCTGTGGCCTGCCATATAATGAATTCTCCATAGTGGGAAAAGTAGATCTAAAGCTGATCTAAAGCTGTACTTGCCATGTAATGAATTCTCCATGGTGGGAACAGTAGATCTAAAACTGTGGCCTGCCATATAATGAATTCTCCAAGGTGGGAACAGTAGATCTAAAGCTGTGGCCTGCCATGTAATGAATTCTCCATGATGGGAACAGTAGATCTGAAGCTGTGGCCTGCCATGTAATGAATTCTCCATGGTGGGAACAGTAGATCTGAAGCTGTGGCCTGCCATGTAATGAATTCTCCATGGTGGGAACAGTAGATCTAAAGCTGTGGCCTGCCATGTAATGAATTCTCCATGGTGGGAACAGTAGATCTGAAGCTGTGGCCTGCCATGTAATGAATTCTCCATGGTGGGAACAGTAGATCTGAAGCTGTGGCCTGCCATGTAATGAATTCTCCATGGTGGGAACAGTAGATCTGAAGCTGTGGCCTGCCATGTAATGAATTCTCCATGGTGGGAACAGTAGATCTGAAGCTGTGGCCTGCCATGTAATGAATTCTCCATGGTGAGAACAGTAGATCTAAATCTGTGACCTGCCATGTAATGAATTCATGTGGGAACAGTAGATCTAAAGCTGTGGCTTGCCATGTAATGAATTCTCCATGGTGGGAAAAGTAGATCTGAAGCTGTGGCCTGCCATGTAATGAATTCTCCATGG